CTGTGCCTTCGGGTATTTCATCCTAAAACGCATTTTTCAAACAACTCAGCTGATCTCTCTCCCAGTCTTTGGCTACCACTGGTTCCCCTGGAAAAGAACTACAACACCACTTCTAAAGTTTCTACATACTGATGTCGCTCCAGATTTTTGATGTTTCATAATACATAAGATCATGGACAAAAACCCTCAAAGACAGCCTGTGAGTGAAATCTTTCGCTTGAAGCCATCTTGACTGAACTTGGGGGTCTTCAAGCCTTACAGTCTGTCCACAGAAGACAAACTAGCACTTTTGGGCCCACCATGCCCCAAAGAAAAAGCTTATCGTGTTACTGGATTGACCGCGGATATTGTTGTTGGTGGGTGCCGTCGAGTCGATTCCTACTCATAGCGACCCTACAGGACAGAGTAGAACTTCCCCATAGGGTTTCCAAGGAGTGGCTGGTGGATTTGAACTGCCGATCTTTTGGTTAGCAGCTGAGCTCTTAATCACTATGCCACCAGGGCTCTATGACCCCTGAAAGGTGCCTGAAAATGTTATCCCACTGAGCAGTAGCTCCCTTCCGGTCTCATCCACACTCAAACCACCTCCCCCGGGGGACCTCCCCTAGGTTAACAAGCAGTCCTTTAGTCACACTCCATGGGCAGACAGCCTGGGCCTAACCTCTCACCTCCAACAGTGTTTCTACCCCATCATCTCCTCCTTTTCTTTGGAGAGCTCCACCAGCGGTCTTTTGTCACTTCCTCTGGGTGAGGGGGTAAAACTTACCTCCTCGATACACTCCAGCTACCTTTCTTTGATTGACTGATGGCCTTCTGCCCCTTTCGAGGCCCCCAGCCTTGTCTTAGGGGCTTAAACACTCAAAGGGATGGCCCCCTGGTGCTCCTAATGTATATTCACTCATCTCTCAGCATCAGCTCTGAAATATCTCTGCGGCACCAGACCAGACGCAGCTCAGGTTAATACCTGTCACTTGCCCCACTTTGACCCCTCTGTTCTCCTCTGTCCCCTTGGAGGTGCTCAGAGGTGGGGTCTCCAGCTCACCAGCGCCTCCACCGCCCCCTTCCCAGTGTTCTCAGGCGCAAGCCCCCCTGCTATTCACAGTCCTCTTCAAAGCTGCGGGCTGCCTCAGGCGCCTCTGTTTATCTCCTCCACAGGCTGTCCGCTCCCCCAGCCCTAGCCGACCTCACCATCTGCTTTTGTCCCACACATTTTCTCAACCTGTCAAGTGGACTGGAGGAAGGCCTGAGCACCCTGCTAATATCCTCGGCATAAATTTATTTCTCAGCAATACTCTTCCCCTTCTGGCCTTATCGACTCCCCTCTACACAACCTTGCAGGCTCCCGTCCACGCTCTTCTCCCTCCCGAACGTTCTTCTGCCTTCCTTGCCCTCCAATCTCACACACTGCCCTCAAAAGCCCAGGCTGACGTTATCAGAGGGCAAGCAGATGTCCCTGCTTGCAGAGCATGTCCCTGTCCTGGTAATTTTGTCCTTGGCTACACGGAGCCTCTGTACCTGGCTGGGGAAGCAGGGCTGGTGATGCTATTCCTCTGTGTCCAGTCCACTCTTGAACCTCATTTCCGTCCTCTCTCCCTACTCCAGAACACACAATAACAGGCTTGAAGAAAGGTGCCCTGTGTTTCATTAATTCCCTTTGGGTACTCAGCGCTAAAGCCTTTTTAACAGAGCATGCAAATCTATGTAAATGTATATTATACACTTATGCAAAAATAATATGAAAATAAGCTTTTAGATTTTCCGGAAAAAGTCTGATCCCTTTCTGAATTCCTCCCCTTGTCAACAACATTGCTTTATTATTCTTCCTTACCCCTTCAGCTTATTGCGTCCTTAATATCTGCCCACACACAGCTCTCTGCTTCTTGTCTTGTACTAACTCATTAACACTAAACATATTATTTCTCTTCTCCCTTCTCTGTGTATATGAATAAAACACATGTATGAAGGCTAAAACTATTAGAAAGTAGCTAATTTTCACTGGGGTTTAATTTACATTTCTCTTGTCAAGTCTGACCTTCTATTTACTTTAAGAAATACCATCTGTCTTCCAAGTCATTATTGCTTTTAAAAAACGTTACCATGTTTGCATTTCCCATTAAATCACACCTCTCTCATAACCTGGGTCAGATAATCTGGCACATACTGTTACTTACAACCAACCCCTAGAGCTAACAAATAGCCGTTCTTCACAGAACAAACACAAGCTCCTGTGTTAATGGTTCCCAGTCACCACCAGCTATTCTGCTCTCTACCTGTCACACACAATGTGGCTTCCTTTCCTTCTAAACAACATCCTTCCGGCTGTCCCTCCGGCTCCAAGTATTTAGTGGCTGCTGCAGACACACTTTCCCGTCTCTGTTCTTTTCCACAACCCACACTCTGCCTCGCCCTCGGCTCCTTCCCTGGAACCTCTCGGCTGGTTCTGTAAGTGGCCTCCAGTAGCGAAGCTCTTCAGACTCCTAGTCTTGACCTGCTGACCGCGCCCTTGCCCCAGCCTGAGGCAGGCCTCAATGCGCCAGCTCCTCACCCGCACTCTCTTCACCCGCGTGCCAGGCAACTGTCAAGGCTTACCTGTCTCTGCCTCCCTCTGCCACAAAAGTCTTCAGCCCCTGTCTCTCCCAGAGACTTGATCTGGTAAACAGATGGCTTTGGATCTCCCTGCTCACCCCTTCCTCTTGACTTAGGGGTGGAAAACCAGTCTGGTTTCCATGAGGGTAGAGACAGGACTTTTTGTGAATCAACAAGAAATTTCAGTTCTTCACTTATACACTGTTGGTGGGAATGTAAAATGGTACAACCACTTTGGAAATCGATTTGGCACTTCCTTAAAAAGCTAGAAATAGAAGTACCATACAATCCAGCTATCCCGCTCCTTGGGATATATCCTAGAGAAACAAGAGCCATCACACGAATAGATATATGCACACCCATGTTCATCGCAGCACTGTTCATA